AATATTGTTTGTATTGAGTATTCATTGAAATCCTATATCTGTTGTCAAACATAGTGTTAAATACAGCCCACGGAGTGAAATGGGTTTCATTCACCAGATATTGAGACAACTCTAAGGGCTTAATAACCGACAGTTTGTTTGCTTTCGACAAATAAAATGTCTCTAAAATGAATTCCGATCTCTCATTGGCTGTGAGTTTGTCTACAATATTGTCTTCATTGGTGACCAAAGCTGTGATCCATTTGTTCCATTCTTCGAGAGTATAGTCAATGAAATACATTCCTCTGAAGTCGACATTGAATTTCATTAAACCATTAAATTCTGGACTCATATCTGAAATATCAATCGTTTGATGCTTTTCCTTAATTATAATAATTTTATATTTTTGTGTTTTATTTGTCGTATAATACGAGAGAGGAATTGTCCACAAAGTGCTGAAATATAAATAATGTATATTTTATTAACTTTTATATTATATTAAAAACATTTTCATATTTCTTACTCATCTTTTGGTTTTTGTCCGTTTGATAGAAACCTTTCCTGAGTTATAGTAATAGTGTTGGGATTTTGTGGATCACTTTTGATAGTAATGTATGGAAAACCAGGTTTTGTGGTCCACTTGTCCATCAAATCATAGATATATGTATCCATTTCCTTGTTGTGTAACAAAATAATTAGTCTCTAAGCAAACCATGTAATTAGAAATGGATTACTTCTGGGAATGTCTTATTCAATGAATTCCACAAATCATTAGTGAGAACTGATTGATATTTGTGTTGTTTTACATAACCACTCATACCAGCCCTGAATGCCTCCCTTCCCATTGTAAACTCCAACATTCGTATAACTGTTGTTGACTTTAAATATAAACTATATTAAAACTAAAAACATTCCCGGTAATTATTAAATAAAACTTAAAAACAAACCTTATAATACATTATTAATTCATCGAAAATGGTAACATCAGAAACATTTTTATAGTTTAATATAATTGGTGGCGATTTGTCAACAGAATCTGCTTTTAATGCATTAGACATTGTTTGATTGGCAAACATGTCCCACTTCAAATTATAATTTATATTAGATGAAATTTAAATTAAAACACCAAAATATTTAAGTAATTATCATGGCTCACATAATTCCAGCTTGGTTCAATGTAATCAATGCCATAATATGACATAAACTCCGCAAACCCTTCATTGAGCCACAAGTGGTCCCAAAAATGACATGTTATTAAGTCTCCAAACCACTAAAATAAGTAATTTTATGTTTTATAAATTCATGAAAATATAATTAATGTATGATTTATTATAATGTATACTCACCATATGTGCAAATTCATGGGCAACTTCCCTGGCTATAAACATTTAATTAGCACTGGTATATTCATCGGGAGTCCACAATAGGGACTTCTCATTTGTGATAACTAGCCCCCAATTTTCCATACCTCCCGCAAAATTAGGTATGGCTACTAAATCAAGTTTGGGTAGCGAATACTTAACACCAAGGTACTCCTCATACATTGTTAATGGTTTGGCAGCTATTTGGGTGGCGTAACCAAGTTTAGATACCACCTCATGGTTGGAACAGACTTTGATATCGTAGTCATGACCCTGAGCACTGGCATTGTGACAGACATAATCGCTTACAATAATGGCCAGTAGGTATGTGGACATCGGATCTGTACGTTTGTATGTAGTAGTTGTCCACCCGGACGCCGGTGTGTCGGCATGGATATCAATAGTCGGCATATTAGTGAGGGTTGTATTCATTACTGATTCGTGTATTAATGTTAAATCAAATTGTGATTTAAACACGGGTTCATCAAAACAGGGAAATACATTACGAGCTCGTGTTGGCTCAAACTGAGTGGTAATCACACCTGTAGTCGTGTTTCCGATACTTTGTGAGGCCTTATAGAGACCTATATTTGTGTTGATCTCTATTTTAGATGTAAAGTCAAAACTAAGTCGATAGGTTTTAGACGCGGACTTATTGGCTAATTGTATGACAAAGTATTCAAAGGGTTTGTAATGAAGAAATTGTTTGATAGATAACTGATCTCCTGTCCCATTGATGTAGACCCGGGTGTCAGTGATGGTCAGATTATCACCACAATGTACCACAAAATAGTCGACCTCTTTGTGAGCGATTACTTCCATTTCAACGCTTCCATTGAATACATTATTCTTTGTGTCGATTCTTAGTGTCAGAGAGTATTGCAGAGGACGTACGTGTGGGTCGAGTCGGAAGTCATGCCACGGATCAGACATACACTCATTGTATTCATTGTCTGATTTATGACTACAAATGATTGCTTGTAATTCTTGGGAATTGTTACTTATTTGATAACTATATGACAATTGTGATGCTCTATGAGATGAGATGATCACATATGAAATTATAATAAATGTATACATTATTATTAAAGCATTTATTTTTTAGTTAAATTTAATATAAATTATTATTGGTAATTTATACTAGTTTATAAATTTTTGTGTTTTTATGTTATGCTTTATATAGTTGCTCAATCATTATATCTATTAACAATAGTTTTAATGATAACATGTAAGATAAATATACAGTGTCTACTACTACATATTTGAACTTATTTGCACTTTATATATTGATTAAATATTTATTTTT